GCTCGGGTCCCCGTTATCTCTTATGCCCAATGATGGATTGTGCCGGTGCTTTTCTCAATTCAACCTATTGCGACTAACCTTGACTTTTTTTTTTTTTTTTTTTTGGTTTTGTTTTTGTTGTTATTTTGGTGGTGCAGTTCATCAACACTGTCAACACAATAATAAGATGTAGTCAGCAATCTGTTTTGTGCTACAATGATTAACACAATAAGTACAATCATGCAAAAAAAATGAAACGTGAAGCTGAATTTTACATATCCGAAACCAAGTTGCACAGCCTTGACGCTGTCAGAGCTACTGAATGTCATATGGACACACTTCAGTGACTTATCATTATACACCATCGGTCATTCAACATACTGCATAACATACAACAAAGTGAAACATGAAATCTGGTAAAGACCCACACAGAGCGAAGAAGAGGAATGAGGCATGTGCTGATGACCCCCCTGCCCCCCATTAGACAATCACAGTTAACCTTTAGCTATATTCCCCAGTGGCTAAAAAAATGTTTAATGCAGGCATGACATGTCACATTCTTATTCTTTTTTTCCTCCCTTTTGCTTGACCTCATTCAGCTGCTGTCGTGATAGTGGCAGACATTGCCGACCAGGCAAATGACAGTTTAAGACACGGGGTGAGTATCATGTATAGTATAGCGGTCACACATTATGTTCTGACTCTGACAATATGGTTTATTCTGTTCTGTAATTCAAACCTGATTTTCCCCAAAATAATCTTAGTAGAAAAGATTTGCTGATTTGAAGCGGTTGATTTATTTTTGAAATATTTGCATTTATTGTGGCATTCCTATTTACATGCGGACAAATGATCAAATGGCAGAAGTGCACCAAGACGGCATGACTATTTCAAGGGAGTACTGAAAAAGGCTGAACAGGAAAGAGATTTTTTTTCCGAAATGAAGAATGTGAATGTGTTCATGGCTCAAGACGCTGAGTGGGCAGGGCGCTGAGCCCAACGTTACCTCCAACAATGCTCCACTGCTGGACACATGCACAGCTTTCTTGTTGCCTTGAGTCTCCCATGAGCTGCTCCTTTGTTCGGAGTCAAGGAGCAAGCCCCAAAAAAAGCCTCACATATGGAAAAGCACGGCTACAAAAAAACAGCTTGCTCTTGCTTTAAGTTCTTGGAAGTGACACTACATATCACCTCCTAAATGGCCACCAATGGTGCTGGTCACAGGAAGTTTGAAGAGGGCACCATAAACCTGAAAGTGCAGAATTGTGGAGACACATTTAGGTGGATCGTAATTCCATACACTGTATAGATACCCACATCCTGCACGTTTCACCGAGAAATTTAAACTTTCAAAGAATAATTTAAAATAGTCCTACATTACATTATCCATTCCATAAACAATGTCATACAAGTGTAAAAAGAAGAACTCTTGTCTTAACTTGGGTGACAAATAACAAATGTGAACCAATCCATCTCATTTTTTTAACCTTATGACTTATTACTTCTATATACGGTACTGTAAGGATTTTAGTCCGTGCAAAATCAGTAAAACACTATATTAACTTTGATAGTAAGCAGCGACGCTTATGGTTGATGCAAGGAGTGCTTTGAATGGGAATCTGATTACTTTGTATGTGTTTTGATTGTTAACAAAAGAACAAAAACTGACGCCACAATGTGTCATAACATTTTGAGAAAAATAAGTAAGTACTTTTTGATGACAAATGACAAAGCTCTACTCATGTCTTTGTCTTCTATTTGTTCGTGTTAGGAGAACTTGCTGCGTCTGGTCAACATCGAATATAGTGTTCATGGCCAGCGGGACCTACTGCAGCCTGGTCGGGTATGACTCTCATAATATTGCATTGTTTCAGTCCACACTGGGCCACACGCCTTTTGGCCTTAACACAATGACTCAGCTGGGAATCCCCTTTTGGCCTGAGTTGAAACAATATTAACAACAGCAATCACAAAGTGACTAATAAATGTGTGTCATTTTTATTGTGTTTCTTGGTGTCAGGTGTTTGTGAAGGAGGGCACCCTGATGAAGGTCAGCAGGAGGAGCCGACAGCCTCGTCATCTGTTTTTGGTAAATGTTATTTCTGGAAACAGACAAGCTTCGTTTCGGGCATCAAACACTTAATAACATTTACATTGCCTTGTACAGAAATGAGTAACCCAACTCATGACATTTTCGAAATATAAGCCGTTGCTCAGAGGATTTTTAGCATCTATCTTGCCGTGTCCTAAAGCCTTAGGCAGTGGATATCTGAATACAAATGGTGCAACAATACATTTAGACAGACACATAATGCGCAAACACTAGAAGTAGTCGCACAATGACAACTTCTTAAATCTTTTGAAATTAAAATATTTACATGTATTACATTTACATTAATACATTTAATTCAAACTTTGCTGCTTTATTGCAATACTGTAATGTCCTGGTTCTTTTTTTTTTTTTTAATTAACAAGCACTTCACAAATCTTTTTGTCAGCCTTTTATGGGGGCCTGGAACCTCTGAATTTCCATTTATCTCAATGATCAAAGATGATCAGAGATCTAATCCAATCCAGTGTTTTGAGTGACGAGTGTTGCCACCGAACGAATTGAATTTGTAAATCAAGTCACCTCTGTACAGTATTTGCTTGATAATGCAACCGTGATCATGGAAATACAAAGACTTACTACCATGTAGTAGCCAACCTTTTTCCCTCTGGCCTATTGCAGACTGCTCTATTAAGAGCAGAGTTTCCTGACAGGATGTTTCTGGATTCTGACTTCCTGAGACACCTAAAAGAAAGAGGAAAAAAAAAATCTGACAGCAAAGTAAAGATCATCAAAACCACCACCTTAGACAGTGAGACTTAATTACCTGCAGAAGCATAACCGTCTCAGTTGACATGTCTTTTAGTATGCTCGTCACTTCTATTTGTTGGGATTTGGGACAAATGAGAGCACCATTAAAATTCAGTGCTTTTCATCCCTGCACGTTGTTTTAACATTTTTGTTAGAACTCCCAAACACACAGTCAAAAAAAAAATGCTCATAAATTTTTTTGTTGTGTCTGTCCTCTATCCTGCTGGTGTTTCCACCTTGACGGTGATCAAGTTTTATCAGCTCTGATTACTCACAGCAAACTAAAAAATGCGTGCTGGAGCTTGAGTTTCTTGATACTAAAACTCAAATCCACTTGATGAAATACAGAGGTTAACAACACAGTGTATACATTTATATACGTCAAAAAGATATCCCAATGATGAAAGTGTGCGCTAGATAAAGAACAATCGGCCTCGGGTTCAGTCAGAGATCCAATATAAAAGTGTTTACATTGCCACCTAATGGAGAATAGCTTCCATTGCAACATTTTAAATAGTCAACATTTTCATTCCTTGCACCGATATGGTGATTTTCGGTATTCTGCACGAATTTATTTTCTCCGCTGTCTGTCTGTTGACTTATTATTGTCCCTGTGTTTGTGTTTACAGATGAACGATATTTTACTTTACACTTATCCGCAACAGGATGGCAAATACAGATTGAAGAACACGCTGTCACTCACTGGGTTGAAGGTAAAAAAAAAAAAGATACTTTTTACATCGCTGTCTTTATTTGTCACCACAACACATCATTAGTAAATAAAGAGTTAAAAAAAAAAAAGAAGAAAGAAAAGTACAGTTTGCTCCTTTCATGATATCGTTGATCAAATGCCTAGGTCAGTAAACCCATCATCGAAAATGTCCAGCATGCACTGAGGATGGAGGGAAACGACATCTCGATCACCTTGTCTGCAAGGTGAGACGCAGTTGATCATTTTATGATCATTCCTTGTGGTGAGGATGAACGAAATTTTGCGTTGTTTGGAGTGAGACTGCGTTGTATTATTTGACAGCTCCTTCATTGAAAGAGAGGACTGGTTTTACACGTTGAGCTGCGCTGTGAGTGAACACAACCAAGGATCTGTGCTGTTCAACAACTGCTCGGGAGAAGTAAGCGAGTACTATCCCTTCACTGTCACGATGCTGTACTATGCAACACATTGGGATGAACTCACTAATGTGCGTGTGTGTCCAGACCAGAGATCATCTGCGTGTAACCTTAGGAGAAAAGCCCCCCACACTTGTTCCAGTGTCTCAAGCGATGATGTGTATGAACTGCACGTCGGACTTCAGCCTGACTCTCCGTAGGCATCACTGCCACAGCTGTGGGAGGGTGAGTGTCAATGCAAATAAATATGTCACGTCATAAAAGTGCATATATGATGTTCTTGTTTGCTGGTTTATGTCTATACTCCCCGCGGTACCCTCCTTCCGGTGCAGATTGTTTGTAGGAGCTGCTCCAAGAATAGATATCCGCTCAAGTACATGAAGGAGCGTATGGCCAAAGTGTGTGACCACTGCTACAGCGAGCTCAAGAAAAGAGGTGTGAAAAGTTGCACTCTAATACTTACGATCACTACCTCGCGTTTTTCCTCACTGGGTTGTATCAAAAAAATAATACTTGGTTGTGCAAAGTAAAGAGTAAGGTGAGCCCAGAAAAGCGTATCCTGATTTAATGTGATTCATTGCTGTGTGATACCAAAACTGAACAAATTCAAAATATCTCTTCGATGCAGTAGCACGACAATTACGACATGAGAGTTGACCATTAAACTGTATGTCAAAATTGATCATCATGATCTTTTTTTTTTTAATTAAATTTGTAAGGCCACTGTATGTATATGTCAATTTAAACATTCATTCATCCATCCATTATCAGAGCCGCTTATCCTCACGATGGTTACAGGCAGGCGTGGTGGATTCTATGCCACCCGTCTCTGGACAGTAGGCGGGGTAAACCCTGAACTGGTTACCCATTAGTACACAATAAAATACATTTATATTTCATATCAGCCATAAACTGTAAGTCAGTAACGTTTTCACATTTGAGTTCCCTTTCTTCGTTATATGATCTATACTGTATTACCAATATTTCACCATTTCTACCAGGGTACAAAACTTTTGAGCACAACCCTTCTCTTATTCACGCCTTAAAGAAGCGAATCATCAATTTCACTTGGACTCGCAGTCGTTTAAAAAAATGTCTACCTTGCAGGAGACGACACGTGTGCCCTCCCGGCAAAGAGCAGCCCTCGTGTGAGCCGCTCCACTCGTCCGCTCTCCTCCGTGTTTCAAAGCATCCACCCTCCAAACATTTGGAGGCATCGCAAAGGCATGCTCACCTTCAACCAGGTGCGTCTCCGCCCACAATGACTTGGAATTGTTGATTGTGCAGAAGAGACACAGACACGGTGATCATAAGCAGAAGGACCGCGAAGGCTAATGACTTCTTCCACAGGTGACCGTATCCGATGAGGGCTCTATTAGCGGCAGTCTACACCGCAGTAAGAAGAGCAAGAGGAACTGGAAGAGATTGTGGTTCCTCCTAAAAGACAAGGTGCTTTACACCTACAGAGGCCAAGAGGTGAGGGGACACATGCACTCCCCTTCAACCTGTATAGAACATTTGAAAATGCATTCGATGCAGTGTGAGTCGTTACATGATGGACATTCTGATGCTGCATCCACAGGAGAAGGTGGCGTCAGAGAGTTTGCCTTTGTTGGGCTTTACGGTGAAGCTACCGGACAACCACCAGGGAGATGACGACGCCTCCAATGTTTTCCAGCTTTATCACAAAAACACTTTGTACTATACGTTTAAAGCGGAGGACAATTACACAGCCCAGAGGTGAGGAAAATGGGCCATGATCCACTTCAAATAATGACGCAATTGGTACTCACTAGTCACACTTTTTGCACAAATCTGGAGAAAATATCTGAAGAATTTAGAGAGCCTTGCTGAATTAAGATTTGTTTTCTGTTTTTTTAATACAGTGGTGCTTTGGCACACAAGTTTAATACATTCTTAAAAAAGTCGTACTTCTCAAAAATCGTTTCCCTATTGAAATGATTGGAAATTCCACGAATCAACTCCAGCCTCCCCGAAAAAGCATATTTTGTCATGTATATTTTAACTTTGTAAGCAACGTTGACCTGAAATGCTGTCAACGGGGATCCTAACAAGAAGCACCATCGATTATGTTTTTTTCTTTTTTTTTTTTTTTTTTTTTTTTTTTTGTGAATGGGGGGGGAAAAGTCTTGGTCTAAAAAAAAAAAAAAAAAAAAGGATATTAGCTACAACCAGCAGATGGCAGCATTGTATCTCTTTTTCTGGTGTTGTTATTGTTCGCGTTCCTAAAGTGCAACTTGCTTCTCACATAGGTGGGTCAACGCCATGGAGGAAGCCACTGTTTTATAGGACCAGATCATTCCGCTCTTCCAAAAGCAACAACAACAACAAAGTGTGAGCCCAAAAAGGGGGGAAAAAAACTTGATTATGTCTGCAAACTGGAACTTCCTCGGCCAATACTGCAGGAAAGTATTGAAAAAGACACCATGTTCTTTGCGAAAGGGGGGAGGGACACTTTTGCCTACTGTTGCAACCTTGCAGCAGGTGTGATGCTGTGCACCACATGATGGGTTGGCCCAGATACCCGCCAGTCATGTGACGTGACCTCGATCTCTATCAGCCGGCTGATCAGCACAGTAGCTGACGGCAGATCATGGTGGGTTATTGTCACTTTTTCGACTGGGGTGAGGAAAATCAATCAAGAATGCGCAGCTCTCCTTCCAAGACATTTTTAGAAAATTTAATCTTCACCTTCATGTTATTAGTCTTCATGACTGTATTAACAATGACTGGTTTCATTTATATAAAATGACGCAACTAAAGTCTTGTACTGTAATATTTGATGCCTTTTTTTTTGTTTTTTTGCACTGATACAAAATGGACTACAATAGAAAATCTATACCTTCACCAAACAAGCCATAGTCATCGATTTTTATGTGGAGCATTTCATTGTACTGTATAGTCTAGTCCAGTGTTTCCCAACCTGTATTTTTGCCCGAAAAATCTCACCACCAAAAAAGATGTCATAAAAAATATTTACTGTACGAGTATTGAAATATTATGATGATGATGAACTTCTCTCTTAAATGTACCTGCTTATTGTCAAATGTGTGGAACATAAAGTTATTCTTCTGTTGTCCACACCTGGACAAAATTGTTGGTACTTTTCTGAAAAATAATAAGAACATAAGAAAAAAAAAATCGTCGTAATCATAAATTAAAATTGAATGAACGTTAACCGATGAAGTCATACACTTCTTTTGAATTGTGTGTCAACAGGAACAAATTCTTGAAACAGGCCTGGACAAAAGCGATGGTACCCCCGAGAAAAGATTGAAATCATTTGACCATAGTGACATCTTCAACCAAGGTGTGTCCTCTAATGACCGTCACAAGTGTTTTCAAACTTGCAAGCAGTCACTTGGCCTATTTAAAGTGTCCCAATTAGCCACTGGGTATTTTGGTGACATTGTGTGTACCACACAAAACACGGACCAGAGGATGCGAGGGAAAGCATTGCTCAGGAGATTACAAATACAATTCTCGACAAAATCTCCAAGTAGCGTGAAGCCCCTGTGATGGCAGAGGCACATATTATTTAGAAATTTAAGATCCTTGGGACTGTCGCCAACCTGGTCTCAGTCGCAGGCCCTGGGTCTTGCAGCAGGATAATGACCCAAAACATAGCTAAAGACGCTCAAGAACGGCTAAAATCAAAACATTGGACTTTTCTGAAGTGACTTTGGATAAGCCAAGAGGCTGGTATCTTAACTTCAAGGCTGCGAAAAGGAACAAGCCGGTCTTCTTCGGCATTATAAACAACTTTGATTGCACGCTATGTACGTAAATGAAGTCCTTGCAGTGTCACACCAGTAAGTTGATCAAAAAACACAGAGCGATAAATTATGTACAATTACGCTTACGTGGTTATTGCCTCAAAAGATTTTGTTCAACAAAAGATGAAACTAAGGGTGCTCCCATTTTTGTCCGGCCCTGTTATATTTCATTTTAAAAATAATCCTGTTGAATCATAGCTGTCTGATTTTCACGATTATTAGTATTTATATATTTTTTCTTTTATTATTAATTTTATTTTTCTACTGTACCAACATTTTGTCCACATGTATGGCAACAGGTGGACAGACAAGTTCAAGTGGAAGAGCATTTAATTGTTCTGACTGTCACTATATGTTGCTGGCCCAGATAGATGAACAAAGATACATTGTATACACGGTATATGTCATAAATAAATTATACTTTTGTGACCCGTTATGTGAAATTAGAGAATTTCCTGCAGCACTTGGTTGGGTCTCACTGGTCTCGTCAGTGGTATGCACGAGACATACATCATGAACGGAACTAGCGTTTTGCACTTTGAAGTGTACTTGCTGATTTATCGAGCGTATTTCCAAAACATATTAAAGCGAAGATGAACATAACAATGGGAACCATCTGCGACATGTTGCTGACCACTGATCTTAATATTGACATTCCGCAGGCTGTTATTGACTTCATGGGAGCACACGAGCATGCTACATGTACAATATGGAAACATCCGCACGATGTGCTTTTAGAAGCCCTCGTGGATGTAAACAGCGTGCCGCACGGCCAGCGAAAAAGGCCACGTCTGCTCTGCTTCTCCGCACCCCCCTGAGGCTCGCTGACCCAGAATATCGTCAAGCGGGAGGCCTTCTTTCTATGGCTGCTGAGAATTTGGAGACAGGCTCGTCCTACATAGACAGCAGATAATTCATCACCCCACTCACCATTTCTAGACCCCATTCTGGTTGACTTTGTGCTTGTTGCTGCTATAAAATCTTGTCGCACAAGGTCACTCACTGCACTCATGGGACACAAAACAGCGACGCAAACCTGATTGGCAATCATTAGAAGACTCATTTTCCATTGTCAGGACAATATTACATTTATTTGGGGGTTAGTTCAGTGTTCCATAAGATCTCCGTTGAATAGTTTACCGCTTTCCAGTCGCCAGATAAGGTACCAAAGATAACCAAAAACATTAGAAACGACTTTCACTATGATGCAATGCAATTTACATCATTGCAAACAATGTCATTAGAGTGTCCGCTGACGCTTTAAATATGTATCTTTCACTTTTTAGACTTGTTAGGTGAGAAATGGGCTTAGTTTGATCGACATTAAAACATGTCGTTTAGGTATCAAGATGCATACCACCTAGTGCGGCAGCAGCATGTGCGATCATCCCAGCCCACTTCCATGTTGCCGCAGGGAGAAGCAAAGCAGAGAGGAACAAATAATCAATACCCCTCCACACACACACACACACACACACACACACACACACACACACACACACAGAATACTCAATAACATTGGACACATTCCTCTATGATGCGCTCAGCTTTGAAATCATTAACGACTGGCACAACTACAGTAAAAGATGAGCTCTCGTGTGACTTCCGTGAGTTTTGGGCAGTGGATGTCTCGTGTCACAATTGCTGATGTGGCAAAAAAATACTCACATTCTTGACATAAGTACAAGTACAGCCACTTGTGATAAAAAGTACTGGGAAGGAAAGTAGAAGCACTGTTTAAACTCCTTTGGTAAAAGTGGGAGTTTGCAATAAAACGCAATAGCACTTTTTGTCACATACCTGACAGTAGTACGTGACGATCTGTGGCCTGTGGCCCCATATTTAAAAAAAAAAAAAACAGCCAATAAGGGACATAAGGTTGACAATCAGTTGCCACTTACAGGCACACACGTCGTGAGCACACCCTCCTAGTGATAGCTTTGCTGAAACTATGATGGAATGCCCACCTCCAGAAAAAAAAAATGCCCATCCCTCTTTTGCCCCCAAAAAAATCATTATAAGACTAACAAACAGAAGCAGAGCGAAGGGAACTCATGCAGCTGAGTGAATTCTGAAGTGAGAAAATGAGCAACATCTCTGCAGGTAAGTTGATTACCTCTTTTTTTTTCATTTTAGTTGATTTTACAATGATTAAAAAAAAAATTCCATAGCTTTGGTAACGTTGTGAACTACTAAAATAAATGCTCAAAAAACACTTGACATGTCGGTTGTTTGTTCTTTTTTTCTTCAGATTTTACAGAGGTAGAACTAATGTTTTTTAGTCACAATATCTTATTGTCAGGTGAGCAAAGGAACAAGTTTATTTTGACAAAGTGAGGAGTTGAAAATTCATCTAGATGTAGGCGCTAACATCAATTTACAACTCGAACAAACACTACAGACACCTGAAAAATCAACTTAAATGCAGCTGAGTATTTGTAATTTTTTTTTTTTGGGCATTCATCAAGATCCGGCATCTCAAATTTGCAGTCTGCAAGATGATAGTTTGCGGTCTCTTATTTGACATCAAAGTTTAATGGGAGTGTCGCCCCAACATTTTTTTTTCAGCGTGTTTGCCCTGCCCCTTTTGTATTTTTTTTTTTTTAAATCACCTGTGGGCTCAGGCTCCCGACAACTTTTGGCAAAGCGTAATTCTGAAATGACCCCAAGTGGAAGGAAAAGATATCCTGTCATCCAGTCCCAGTCATGTCTTTTTTCAAAACCTGCCATGAAGAGAAAGGCTGACAATGAGAACAGCCAATTTCAAGAAAAAATGATTTGTTTACTAAGTTATTTTTTGAGCACACAAAGACCGCAATCGTTCACATTCCGCAGAACCATTAATGTTCTGAGCTGTTATTAATAAAGATTGAGACGATTGGATTAGTGTTTTTTTTTTTTTTTTTGAATACTTGAATCCCTTTTTTGGAAGACTTGATATGGCCCCGACATAAATTAAGTTTTGATACCCGTGGTCTAGACTTTTTTTCTGTTCCTGCCTGAGAAGAAGCTTCAAACCACATTGCTTTTCATCTTTCATGGGAGTGTGTGGGTAGGCACAGCCTCGGGGTAGAATCGGCAAGATTATGTTACGTAACGGTGGTGGGGATTTAAAGAAACAACTGTGTCCACTTGATGTGGTTTTCACGTTTCTGTGCTTGTCTCATGCAGCTCGTCACCTACCAGACGGCCGAGACAAGATGCAGTGGCGCTCCGAGCTCATGTCCCACTTTGCAAACTCTTTTCAGCCCACGCTTACAAAGGTGATGTTACACCTTTTCCATTTCCCTGGAATTTTCAAATATAGCTCTCTCCTTCTATCCACAGAACACGGAGTGAAAAACCCACATAGCCTTCTGCTCATTCTGTGGCATTCTGTTCTGATGTGACCGTTTTGTCATCTGTCGCTAACTTCAGCTCAAATCGACATATTTTAAGAATTTTTTCATAATTGAAAGTTGTTTAAACCACCCCTCTGTGTTTTTAAAAATGTTTTTTATCATAGACTAAATAGTATTAGGCGGCCCGATGATCCAGTGGTTAGCGCGTTGACCTCACAGTGCAGAGGTATCGGGTTCAATTCCAGCACTGGCCTCCCTGTGTGGAGTTTGCATGCTCTCCCCGGGCCTGCGTGGATTTTCTCCGGGTACTCCGGTTTCCTCCCACATTTCAAAAACATGCACGGCAGGCTGATTGAACACTCAAAATTGTCCCTAGGTGTGAGTGTGAGTGCGGATGGTTGTTCGTCTCTGTATGCCTTGCGATTGGGTGGCAACCGGTTCAGGGTATCCTCCGCCTACTGCCTGAAGACGGCTGGGATAGGTTCCAGCACCTCCCGCAACCCTTGTGAGGATAAGCGGATTAGAAAATGGATGGATGGATAAATAGTATTAAAAGCAAGTGTTTGTGGTCTGCAGGAAAAAATGTGTATGCTGATCTGAATACCTGTTTCCATGCGTTTGGGTCCACCTGCACTCCACCACACCCAAACCATGCAACAGTGCCTTCACCGTGCTTTTGTGGTAAAAGCCAAAAGGTAGGCTCGAAGACAGTTACTGTCGTTGGTCTTCCAACGTGTTCGGATCACAGAAAATGTTTGTCGCTTGGGAAATTATAAGGAATTAGGGCCTAATTGTTGGGGTTCTCAATTGGTTCGTGTGTAGCAGCTGCCTATGATGTCTTGGCAAGAAATAGATGATAGTGGGAGAGCATTTTATTTATGGACAAGAAAAGATCTTCTAGCCACAGAGCCAAATCTACCACCTCCTCATTAGGCTTAGGCAACTGTGTGATGTGTTCTGTGCATTTGTGTATATACGCTGCGGCCTTGTTTATTGCCAAAAGCTCATCCACCGCCCCCATAGGCATTATATGTAATCCTTCAGCAGTATGCACTGGCTTGCTACAGCATGTAGTATGGACACCTACAAATTCAAACGAGCTCCAATGCAAAGCCGCAAGCAGTATTCGTTATTTAGAATGACAGCAATACTCTTAGTCTTGATTGAGACTCATGCAGCGGGATAGAAACGTTTGTAGAATGCCTGTCATATTGCTAAATAAGGCACTTAAAATATTTATGAGAAACTGCCACCACAATCATATATGTTATGCTGTAAATGCATTACACTCGCTCTGTCAATCTCAAACCAAAGTTTCCGATTGCGCCGGTGTACCGAATGTTGTGGCTGGGTAGTCAGCAAGTGTAACAAAACACAGTTCACTGATGGACTCATTCCTACAAAACACCATACTACTAGTCGTCATATTCATACTAAATCTAATACCAATACTACTACGATTAATTTTTGTAATTCTAACTCAAATGCAAATTCAAATACTAATTATGAGACGTTTACTAATTTTATTGTTAATTTTAATTTTAATACTGATTCCAATACCACCACCACCACCACGACTACTACTACTAATTACTATAATAATAACAATTGTAATTCTAAAACTTACACTAATATTGGCTCCAATACTAATAGCACTGATACAAATTCTAATAGCAATCTGAATACTAATATTGTACTAATTATGATGCTAATGCTAAAACTAACTAACGCTAACGCTGATTGTAATACTAACACTGATTCCAATACTAATTTTAATGCTAGTACTAATTCTAAAACTAATACCAAGACCAATTCTAAAGCTAATGTTATCTGGAATACTATTTCAAATATTAATACAAAAAAATATCTAAATTCTAGTCAGGAATACTACTTCAACTAGAACTATTAATACTCCTACTATTAGTACTACTATGACTACGACTACTTCTCTTAGCAGTAGAAATGGCATTAATAATACGATCGTCGTGATACTATATTAACATAAACAGCATAAAGTACGACAACCGCTTCAACTGCTGCTGCTACAACTACTACTACTACGAGTATTACTCCTACTACTACTACTTCAACTATCACTGTTAAGACCACTAATTGACTACTAATACTAATTGAATATCAATACTTTACTGCAGATTAAAAAGAAACAAGATGATGCAATACAAAACACAAACTTTTTTATTTCATTGTGTTAAATCCAGTTTACTGTATTCCTTATCAGAAAAAAAAAATAGTCAACCGTGCACGCTCCAACTAGTTGGAGCGCGCGCCCGCGCACACGTGCGTGTGTCAGGTAGACGTCACTATGGTGCGGGAGGGCGTCGGGAGCGCGCTCGCGCCGCGCCACACTTCCTCAATCGAGTGTATCACCGAGTGGAAAAAAAAGGAGGCGACTCGAAAGAAACGAGAGAACAACTTTGCTCCGTGAGTCGGTGAAGGTACAACGGACAGTTTGCTGGACGAGGTGAGCCAATTCTTGACGACCTTTTGTTTGTCGCTTTTGGGTTTTTTTTGTCGCTTTTCGGGCTTGTGTAACGTGTGTGTGTTTGTGTGTGTGGAAAACGTCCCTCATGGAGACTTTAGTGGCACGTCTTCATTTGTCACTCATTTAAACTCTGCGAAAGGTCTGATGTTAGCTAGCTTCACACATGACCGATGCCTGAGCGGCGACGCCATGCGTCGATGCATGAAAGTTATAGTTGCCCCGGCCTTAGTTTATTCACAGACTTACTTGCAAAGTAAGCCCCGTGGATGCGGTGGAATATGTGAGCTGTCACATCGTCTTTGACTCAACCGGGTAGAGTACGGAAAAAAAAAGTACTTCGCCAAACAAACCGAACAAACCGGCCGCCAACTTTTGCCATGTGTCGTCTTAAAAAATAACCGTGTTCTCCATTTAATTATGATGTACTGTTTTTTATGGACCTGCTTCGTCAGATGCAATTGAGTTGCTTTGCATTCCGCTCACTTATTATAAAGTAGTGGTAATGCTTGCAACACCCAATGTTTCTGTGTTAGAGGGAACAAAAGTAACAGTCCAGATTAATGCTTTGAAGCATCTTCTTTATGACATGCTTAAAAATTGTACATTAAAACAGTATTTCCAAACCACTTTATTCACGGCGAGACTCTATGCCAATGACTTAGACAGCAGTGATTCCCAACTAAAGCACATATTTTAAGTTAAATCTCACCGCACACCACCAAACAATAATGTCACAAAAAGTGGTTATACATGTCAATTATATACTTTCTGCTATCGGATACAAGATATTTTTTTTTTGTTCTGTCTGTCCCTCTACTATGTCACTGGCATAGATAGATGGAAAAAAAGATTCTTCCCTTGTTGCGGGTGTTTCGTTCCACGAGCTCCTACGTTAAGTGAATTCCCGCAAAATAGGATATAGTTTGATTCACGTCTCTATTAAGGGATCACCCCCCCCCCCACACACACACACACATAGTTTCCACACTTATAAGTACTTATTTTGTTGCACTTCATGAAGAATAAATACCAGCGCTGTAAACCCTTGGACTTCTGGCGGGAAGTTCTTCTTCTTCATCCTCCATTAAGAAAATGAAGAAGAAGAACAGTAATCCTGGGAACTATATTTTGATTTCCATAGCAAGGGTTTACTGCGGCAAAAGACGCTTTAACCCACCAGGATTGTAACTTTGCCGACAATGCCACGTGGAATTCTGTTTAAGTCAAGAAAAAGAAAAACTTTCAAGTAGACCTTTCGTCTTCCTTGTATGCTGTGGGCTGCAGAGCGTGCTCTGCTCACGTCAATTCCTCAACGCAGCCTATAACCAGCTCATGCTTCAACTGTTTACTTTCCTCCTGCGTGATGCATCGGGCTCCAATACCCCATTTTTGGGGGGGACTCTGAATAACCAAATGGCACATTTGAACGGCGTTCTGAGTTTCTGAACGGTCTGAGTTAAGTAGTGCGCTCAGTGTGTATTTCCGAAACACGCCCATGATAAGGGAACCGGGATTTTGGAGGCAACAAGCGCCTCGGTCTTGGTTTTTATAAAACAAAAAATAGGACTGGTTCAACGGCGAACAAAGATAAATAGCAAGAAAACCCGCAAAATAAAGAGGTAGAAGCACAATAAATACAGTATGAAGTTTATGATCACAAATGAAAACTCCACGACAGAGTGAAGCCACAATAACTGAACCGCGCGCGGTGTAGCGAGGGAACACTGTACATTATTTGTTGGAAATAAATATATTTCTGACCAGTTCAGTGAAATTTGATCATTCCCCACAGCGCACCCGAAGAGCTGGACGGGCACAATAACGTGCCGCGGCACACACGTTGAGACTAACTGGTGTACTGTAGTGACGGGCAACTCTGAAACACACCAATACAAAACGAGCACACTTGCAAGGAGCACTCCAGTTTCATGACATCACTCATTAGGCCACACCCCTAAACAGACTCTTATCCGACAGATGAATACAAAGGTCCCCAAGGTACAAACACAATGGCTGTTTGTAAGCAGAATTGTTTGTAATTCGAGGCACATCAAATTTCAATCTATAATTGTCGTTTAAGATCATTTAAAAAATACTGTAGTGTAATGCACTACATTTTTTTAGGATAATGCAAAAAGTCTTCTGTGTTTGCAGCATCTCGTCCTGCTTCCCCTCTCCTCCTCCCCCGTTAAGCGCTGAGAAGTAGAAAAAAATAGTTCATCGGAGGAAATTAACTTCAAAGAGGCGGCCCGTTTACTCAACCCTGCAAGCAGCCAATCATATTGTGCCCTGCTTAAAAGTCCTCTTAAAAAAAAAGAAAAAAGAGAGAGGGTTTATTATGGATGACAGCCAGCATTAGCGTTTATTGAAACCTTGACTTTTTCCAAACTTTTTGTCCAGTAGTAGTTTGTTTAACTTTACAACAGCGATGAAAATCAACAAAATTGGCCTTTTTTTCGGCATTCAGTTCAGCAAAAACTAAGCTAAATGTGCTTGCTTTAAGCTGTTTATTAGTCACTCCTGTAAAATATGCATCGTGTTTGTATGTGGAAAGAGCGTGACCCGGACAAGTGCACTACAGTGGACTGTTAAATTCTTTATTAAGCCTCCGGGGCCCCACACAATAACAATACGGCAAGTGTGGGATTAGTGAAGTGAGGCTAAAAACTATAAATCCTCCCTTAAAGCAGTGGTCCCCCACCTTTTTTGTGTCACGGAGCAGTTGAGACAAGCACATGCTGTTTATGGATATGTATGGACATACAGTATATTAGTTTGAACCATACATCCTCCCTCGAAACTCCTAATTTTTTCACTTTTGGGACTTTGGACATGGAGGGAGCATTTCCTGCAGATTTGCTGGCCTCCCTTTCATGAGCTTTCCCTCTTTTGCATCCCAAATGGGACTGCAGACGCTGTTTGAGTAAAACCAGCACGTTTCCGGATCCGCTCTACAACGTTGCATGCATGAATTCTGTTTGACAGCCAATCACCTTCAGAGGATGTATACACTCGGTTCTGAAAGAACGGTTGGAGTCGAGTCGGCTTTGAGATGCTGTTGCTGCTCACTTGACTGTACTCTCAGAGTGTGCCCCAAAAAAGATTTCCCCCACCATGATGCACTGGGAAGCGTTAACGCAACACAGGTAACAGTATGTTCAAAGATGCTCTGTTTACCAGATGTGGTTTTTTTTTTGTTGCTCCTCCATCATCCATGTGTGACAATTTCGGATTTATTTTATTGTGTTTCACGTGTTGTTCTTCACATTGACTTACGTTTTAAGGTAATATCTCACTGATGGGTAAAGGCTTACGAGGGAACATAGCGACTGTTCGTTCAAGGTTGCAGAGGCCAGACACTCGCAAACTGTTTTAATGGTCGCAAACATTTTTTTTTTCTTTGTTGCCATCGAATTTTCAACGTGTTCAAAATTTCTTTGCAAAGCAGTGCGGCGGGGGTACTTGGGAGTATTTTTGTCGGCGGTACTTGTGTTTGAGAACCCATTGCCTAAATGGGTTCTCAAACCCACGAGCCTAAATGCTCCATGAATGCATTTGCACTGTTCTTCTACTGGTCACAGCTGTTCTTTTTGTTGTTACTGTAAAACCTGTTGGCTAAGATTGTCTGTGCAATGATGAAGAAAGCGTCCTTGCCAGCAACCACACGTTTGTGTCATTCAGTGAAGACATGATTGGAAGGAGGCGCAGAATGGTGGGAAGCTGGTGAGGGCATGTGCTTTCAGAGAAAGGCGCACACCTTCTAAATTTAATCCGGGGGGGACAAATCAAAAATGTGCATGCTGGACAAATCAATCTGGACTACCCTCTGTCACATAGCACAGTGCATGTATTGATTATATTAAAAAAAAAAAAAACTGTAGCCACAGTTCATGACTGACTTTCCACCCACCACCCTCCCCACCCCAAACACACACAAGCCCACACACTTGCCTTTCTGATTACTGATTTTCTTCCCTGTTCGCCTTTCTGTGCTTTACTCTGCTGGTCCCAGTGTGGGCGGTTTCGGGTTGAGGAATTGCCGAGCTTCCTGTGGCGCGCCGAATGCTTGTTTTGGAGTCGGGACATGTAGAGGCTCGCTTTGTCGCGGCAGGCATGTCCTCCATCTTTGCAGCTCCTCCCTTTGACAGAAAACAGAAGTGTGTGCGTGAAGACGTAGAAGTCAAGAACGATGGCATATTTGACATTAGAGTGCACACAAAAGCCGTGCTGCAGCTCATGATAAAGCTGCATCGACTTGTATTGTACTCACCCCCGTCAGTTCTGAAACGTGCGCATACATTGACGGGCTGTTTGTTTGCTGACAATTATCATTTTCACTGCTAGCATAGTTTCCCTCTATAAAGGATGCATTTGAGTTCCGTCCTTTTTTTTTTTTTAAGGTGTTGATTTTGATTTCATCGATTATAATCGATCAAAAGTCATTAGCGTGAACCATTACAGTGGAGACTCCAATGACAAACGCCTCGAACGTCGTGGAATTTGTTTCCCAACCCTCATTGAGCAAAAGGCACCCATTTGAAAAAGCTCACATCTCACCACAAAATGTCACAAAGAGTGTGAAAACTGAAATCATGATTATTTCTTCTCGAGTTACTCACACATGGGTCGTACTTACACCGTGTTCAGTTCAACACGCTGAGCTGATATACTCGCGAGAAGCCTTCACCGTTCCGATGTACGGAAGGCAACAGGGGGCGACACATCTAACGCCTTCTTCGTAATAAATGAAGTCAAGTTGGAAATGTTATGGCATCACCCCTGATTTATTTCTCATGGCACATCAGGGGGCGGGGCCACGGCTCACCTTGGTTGGGAGTGACCAGTCAGGGAAGTGGCGAGTAATTGGTGTGCGTATAGAGTCCCTTGGGTAACGCTCCATTGATCATCTGTTTTTGGCCGCAGCTGACTTTGGGGACTTTTCACCATGCCTCCATTCTTGAGGATTGCCTTCAACTCGTTCGACCTGGGTGCCCTGCCCCCTCCGGCGGACCCCCCTTTTTGTGCAATCAAGATGAAGGAGGCCTTGACAACAGGTGAGGAAAATCATTCACTTGAAGATGTCAATGCTTTACCCTCACCAACTACTTTACTCTTACTACAAAAGCTCTTTTTAGCATCCTTCCTTCTTTTTTCCCCCCCAGAACGTGGTAAGACTCTAGTTCAGCGGAAACCCACCATGTATCCAGCCTGGAAGTCCAGTTTTGACGCACACATCTACGAGGGCCGTGTGGTTGAAGTGCTCCTGATGAAGACGGCCGAGGAGCCCCTGGCTGAGGTCACGGTCGGCGTGTCCGTGCTTGCCGAACGCTGCAAGAAAGCCAACGGGCGTGCTGAATTCTGGGTAGAACACCTCAGTTGGTTCCGTGTACTAAGCTTCTGCAAAAGCTTTCTTTTTACGTGCGGGTTTGTGTGTTCAGGTGGATCTTCAGCCTTCTGGGAAAGTGATGATGGCAGTGCAGTACTTTCTAGAGGGGTTGGAGTCTGGTAAAAAAAAAAACAACAAAAAAAAATCACAGTCTTAATATCCATGCATTTTTTTGATAGCACTCACAAGGGTAGCAGGCAACCTATCCGAGTTGAGTTTGGGCAAGAGGCAGGATACACCCTGGACTGCTTGCCAGCTAATCGCAGTGCACAAACAACCGTTCACACTCATTTTCACACCTCAGGGCAATTTCGCCTCCAAGCAAATTCCAATGTGCTGTCAGTACTGACATACTTTCGTTTCATTTAGTTATTTAACAGAGACACTTACGTTGCTGTCAATAATAATGATAATTAGTATTATGATGATTATGATTTTGTTTTCTTATCTTAGTTTCTGTTTGTTTTGGCTTGTAAATGTATCATGAAACAATATTTCAGGACCCTAAACTCGTGACTAACGCGCCGTAAACTGCACCTGCACTTCGTGAAAGTACTCTTATAGTTTCATCCATCCATTTGTTTTTGATACCGCTAATCCTGTTGCGTGCCATGGGAAGCTGGAGCCTATCCCATCTGACTTTGGGGGGGAAAAAGGTAAATACAGTAAGACCGTGTAACCCAGTCAGTCGCAGGGCACATATCGAGACAGACAGCCGGTCACGCTCACATTGACACCATCACTGAAAGGGAAGTGAAGCCACACTGCTTTCACCGAAGTCAGCTGACTATACCGCTATATCACCGTTGACCCTGATTTTTGCATGTTGAGTTCATATTTAACTTGCAATAATATCAGTGGTTTGTATTCTTTTATTTCTTCTCTTAGAAGTAGAGTTTAATCAAAGCAGGCTATCAACTTCCAAAGTGCTGAAGAACCGTGAACACAACGAGTGACTCACAATTGAATTTTTGCTCCACACAATATGCACTACTTTTTGTCATGGGTTTTTTTTTTTGTGTTGTAACTCTGTACTGAGTGTTACAAAAGGAAGAAATAGGAAGACCAGAAAGCTCTCAAATGATACAGCGAGGCTTGCATGTGCTCATGAGAGACACCTCTGGACTTTACAAGTGGCTGATTGAGAAAATAGGTTTTCAGAGCAACAGAGAAAAGTGGGTGAATGCTTTTTTTTTTTCACTGCTAACTTGAGCGTTATCAAATGTTGATCACTCTTTTATAGGAAAACAATGACATAATCAAACCTGTCCAAGAAATTAAGAGATTCGAGTCATCGATTACGATCAAGGCGACATGCCTGCGAAATGAACTTTGTCCCTGACAGAGAGCAAACAAGCTGCAAAAGAAGAAGAGGCCCCCACCCTCAACCGTCGACGAGGTGCAATCAAGCAGGCAAAGATCCACTTCATCAAGAACCACGAGTTCATCGCCACCTTCTTCAGGCAGCCCACATTCTGCTCTGTGTGCCGAGATTTTGTCTGGTTAGTTCAGCCTACTTTCTGGTGCTATAAACAAACCTTCAGGGGAATTAAAGGGAAACTTTGAAACCAAGTCGATTGCTTCTCAGTCCACTGACACCGGCAAGGGACAAAATAGTTTTGAAACTCTTTTTGGTCTCGCTCAGCAGGAAGTTGCGGCAAAAAGGAAACACGGTTACACAAATGATCACCGGCGTACGAAAGCTGCTCATTATCTCAAACGAAGAATCAAATCAGCAAAAAAAAAAATTTAAATTGGTGTTGTTTTCAAGAAAAAAAGATTACAGTTGTTTTTCTTTACCTCTCACAGGGGACTCAACAAGCAAGGCTACAAATGCAGACGTAAGTGAACATTTTACAGTCCCTTGATATTTGCGGTGACTTAAGTGTTTTCAAAGCTTTTTTTGACATCCCTTCATTTGGAAGAGAAAAAAAAATGTTCACCCCCCCAGCTGATGTGATGCTTGTAGCATTGATAGCTGCCGTGTATGTGTAATGTGGACGTATAAGGGCTTATGCACGTCATGGAATGCCGATTGTGAGAGGACAAAAAAACCCAAAACTGCAAGAAATCCTTGACATTCCTGTAATTCCACCACACTCGTGGGGGCGTGCAACACAGTTTAAGAAACACTGATTTAAAATCAGAAGATGACCTTATTTATCAACATGCACTTTGTCACTGTTTCATGACAAATAATGATTCTCTTCTTATCAGAATGCAACGCAGCCATCCACAAGAAATGCATCGACAAAATCATCGGCAGATGCACTGGCACTGCCGCAAACAGTCGGGATACCGTGGTACGTAACACATCTTTCTGCAGTCGATAATAGAGCCCAATCAACATTTTCCCACTTCTTTTGGGTGCGTAAATGTCTGAAAGGGAATGAGCAAGTGTGTTCATATTGAATTATGTGGGTTGTCGGGTCAGAGTTGAGGAAGGCAGGGTCCATAACTTGTAGGGTCATCAATATCCGAGGATAAAGATGTTCAAAGACCAAGTGAGATCGATAAGAAGCCAAATGGAAACAATCAAGCACACCTAGCCGCACAGTGGAGAGCGCAAGACGGGGAATAGGTTCGATGACACGCCACAGGCATACCTAAATGTGGAAGAAACAGTTTGGGCTCTACAGGGGCGTTCAGAAAGGAGCTAAAATGATGAGGCGGATTTGCAAAGCTGTCAGACCGCTCCTGAGCATTCCTCTGGCCCGGCTCACTCATGGAGAAGACGAATCCCGTTTGTTGCCGCAGTTCCAGAAGGAGCGCTTCAACATCGATATGCCGCATCGCTTCAAGAGCCACAACTACATGAGTCCCACCTTCTGCGACCACTGTGGGAGTATGCTGTGGGGTCTTGTCAAACAGGGCCTGAAGTGTGAAGGTACAACACAGACGCACACCACCGCGACCCCCCCCCCCCCCCATCATTTTGAACCGGAATTATTTTTGTGAGCCACTTTGCTGTGTTTGAAGATTGTTCCATGAACGTTCACCACAAGTGTCATCATAAAGTGGCCAACCTTTGCGGCATCAACCAGAAACTACTAGCGGAAGCGCTTACACAAGTCAGCCAGGTGAGTTGCTGCAGATCTAACGTCTAAATGCTTCTATGGGGAAGGGTTAGAAGTCTAAATCCGAGAGCATGACGCACTGTAAAAACAAACATCATTATTTCAGGACACTCTACATATATAATCATATACATTACATGTATAGTTGACTCTGCAAAATCAATAGAGTGCTATAGCCATTAGAGCACGCAAACTCGCTTGCAGTCTTTTCAAATGTGACAGACGACTCGCTGTCAATTCTACATAAGCAGTGAAACTTAGTCTAATCCCGACAGCTCAAGTCTCACAGAGCTCCAAACATTTGGTTGACTTTTAAACTGCCTTAATGTCAAATTGACCCGTCCTTTATAACATACGCTATATTTTTGTATGGTTGCATTGCAAAATGTGTCATTTTAATGTCTTTCTTCTTTTTGCCAATCAGAAATCCTTCACCCGCCGCTCTGATCCGAACCTTGATCAAAACCTCTCTGATATCGGAATCTACGATGAAGTTAATAAGCTTTCTGAACTGGATATCAATGGTCAGTGAGTGTTTGCGTGTCCGAAAATGTCACGAGTACTTGCTATACGATATTCCGTTTGGAGTAATAATACACTGTGGCGTCTCTGTGCGTGAATATGTTTTTGTTTTTCTTTTCTTTTTTTTTTTTCTTTTTTTTTTTTAGAGTCAACCCATTATAGCAGAATATGGGATGGCTCGGGCCCGCGGCCTCAGACTCGTCTGACACACCTCACTCGCATTAACGTGGACGACTTTGTCTTCCACAAGGTCCTGGGGAAAGGCAGCTTCGGCAAGGTAAACAACAGTTTTAACACCGTTAATGCGCTCCCCTCGCACTGGAGACCTCATACAATTTTGACGGTGGATTGTAACGTTTACGCGCGCTTGTAAAATTGGGCTGGAATAATAATTAAGCATCGTCTCTGTGTCAGGTTCTCTTGGCAGAACTGAAAGGTCGGGAGGAGTACTTTGCCGTGAAGGCCCTGAAGAAAGACGTGGTGCTGATGGATGACGACGTGGAGTGCACGATGGTGGAGAAGAGAGTCTTAGCTTTAGCCTGGGATAACCCTTTCCTCACACACCTTTATTCCACCTTCCAGACGAAGGTAAGCTTCCCTGCACCCGAACCGTGTCATCATTGCTAAGTGACGAATACTAAAAGATCTTTTTTTTTTTGACGACAGGAGCATCTGTTCTTTGTGATGGAGTATTTGAATGGAGGAGACCTCATGTTTCATATTCAGGAAAAAGGACGATTTGATCTTGTCAGAGCCACGTAAGAAAAAGAAACCAAACTCCTTTTTCATTAGTCGGCACGCACGCACGAACGCACACACACGCCACACACACAATGAAAGATCGAATGGAAAGCAGACACTAGTCAAATAGAGCTGTGTTTATTCTGTATGTACACCTACCTTTGTCTCCCATGCTTTATGGGACTTTTTCTTTTTTTTTTTTCTTTTGTTTTAAACTTTGACTTGACTGTATCCTGGTGGGCTGAGGCTTGGCTGGCGTCCTTCGGTTGGTGCTCACGAGCACAATGACCTTGTAAGGGGCTGAGCGCGCCTCAGCGCCTGTATACTGTTTGTCGGAGCTATCCGTTACCACCACCCACCTCTCTCTCCTCGCCGCCGTGGCGTTCTCTTCAGCAAACTTATAATGGCGCTGGCACAATGGTGACAAAGTGGGGGGGGGGGGGAGTCTGAAACTGAACCAGCCAACTGACCTTTCTAAAATGCTCATTGACAAAGACAGAGCTTAAAGCTAAGTAGGTCTTGAACACACAACAGTGGCACACTAAGTGATACTCCATCCGCACTACCTGTACAACGTAGGATGGAAAAAAAAAAAAAAACCCACACACATCTACCTTGGCAGAGCAAGTTTGCCCAGGTAATGTGTATGTTCGTGCGTGAGGATAAACACAAAAGAACACTGTAAAAATATCTACGACGAACAGCAGATCATAGAATTACAATGCCGGCCATATTTTGCGAGCAGGGGTTGATGATAATTGTGTTGTGACGACACTAAGTCCTCCAAAGTCCTAACACCTTCACTTCTGTCACGCTGGAAAATAATGTCAAGTGAATTCGTTTGTTGTGGACTCCCAACTGTTGCTGTCATACAACGTAAATGAACAGTACAGGTTGTGTTTTAAGTAGCATTTTTAATCATTGTAATTATCACGCAAGTACGGTATGAACAAAAGTCAAACACATAAAAACTAAGCAATCATGTCAATGTAGGCATCACGAAAAAAAAAAAAGCAAGAAAAACTCAAACTCAAACTCATCAATGGTAACAAGTATTATGCCTGCATACATTCATCTGCTTTCCATTAAATCATATGCACTCAGAATACGTAAATAAGCATCAGGCTCAGCGTGTGCTCAAACTTTCGCGTCCGAGTGTAATGTATCGTCTCCACTCGCTGATGTAATATTTTTCTTTCGGCCGCGACTGGACTGCTCGCTGAGTTTCAAGTGGCCTCTCACTCTGCAGAAGGCGCCGTTCTAACCAAAGGACCTAGTTAGTGTAGAGGACAAGCAACCTCATGCAGCGCAAATGAAATTGATTTACAAGCAGCTTCACGTCAACAGTTGTTGGACTTCACTTCAAGGCTGTTGTAAAACAAGAGGACTTCAATTTGAAGTTTAACGACTTGATTTAGTCGTTAAGGAAAAGTCAAGGGATGTAATTTATTATTTTGTTGTGCTGCTTGTATTGTACTGAGCAGCCAAATCCTTTCCGGCATCGCACGTTGCGTCCACTTCTGTGGTTATCGTACAGCTTTTCCTCTTTGCCGCCACGAGTAGTCTTTTGTGGTGGCATCGCCAAAAACTCAAACCGTAATACTTTCAACTTTTGCTCACACGTCAAGTTAAGACTCCTGAGCCATATTTTTTTTTTCAGCAAAATTTGGTTGAAGCAGTGTAAAAAAAAAAAACGTTTTTGGGAGGCGAAGGAACCATGCGTTAATTCTGAAAGATTTACTTCTTAAGCACTAAGCTGATCTAGACCCTATAGAAATAAATAAAATAAAAATTAAAGCCCACCAACCGACCCAAATTAAGCACTTCCTTTTTTTTTTTTTTTTTTTTTGCAGCCTTTGCGATTTGAAAACAACATTCCACTACATTGAGATGTTTATTTGAATTAATTGGTAAGCCCGACTGTCTGGCCATTGTTTTTTTTTTTTTTTTTTTTTCCCTTCTCTGCGCAGTCACCTATCGAACCTGACACAGATGACAAACGAAGCGGATCGCTCGAGACACTCGACTCTTTTCGGCTCAGTGCCACGCTAGGCTTTCACGTGAAGCAGCATTATTCGACCGCCGACTACTCCATACAAATGTCCTCCTCAATAATTCACGCACACACTGAAAGGAGGCCCCCCGCTGTAGACGCCAGCGTTCGACTTCCCGCTTTTTCCACAATGCTGACATGTGTCTGTCCCCTCCGTCTTTTCCATTCCAGGTTTTACTCTTCTGAGATCATTTGCGGCCTTCAGTTCTTGCATTCCAAAGGGATCATTTACAGGTCAGCAAGCTAACCCAAGTGTGTCATTTTTAAGTACAATGCATAATTTTGTAACCAGAAACAAGTTGCAAGTGTGAGGTGAAAATGAACATCTCTGTTCACACTTGGTGATAAACCATCAATGCTTCACTTGCATGTTCACTCTCAAGCATTAAGTGCAACCGAGGATGTTCCAGGGTCATGTTAGGACAATCTGTTTACATGTAAAAAAAAAAAAAATGCTGCTTTGTTTTTGTTCTTGCAGAGATCTAAAGCTAGACAACGTGATGCTGACTCATGAGGGACACATCAAAATCGCCGACTTTGGCATGTGCAAGGAGAACGTTTTTGGAGAGAACCGGGCCACGACTTTCTGCGGTACACCTGACTACATAGCTCCCGAGGTACTTTGCTCTCGATGCTGTCCTGTGAGTGCAGCTCAAACGGCAGCGTATGTAACTGGTAGTTGACGTTTTATTGCTGTTCAAATTGCGCAAGGAAGGAAGCCAGATACAGGAACTGCACAGATGTAGATCATTTCCCTTAAGACTTCAAATTGTATAGAAGATCACTGCACTAATGCGAGAACCACTGGCACATGTAGCAAATACACATCCGTGGATTTTTTAAAATCTCCAAAATTTAAGGCGTTCATTATCAACATTGAAGAGAACATACAAACTCCACACAAGATGGCTGGACCGTCAACCTCACAACTGTGAACACAACAAATGTTTTGCGTTTGAGCATCCTTATGTCAGTCTTATTAGAGTAGTGGGAACGAAAAAATGTCTACCGCAGAAGGGTCCGCGTGTGGGGCAGATGCGGATAGTATGACTTGGCCCTTACATGCTTGTCATAAACACGCGGCTGAGTGCATCAGATCCCACAGGGATATCGATATGATGTATACCAAAATGCAATGGTGGTAGAATTCTCACCATTCTTTCTTTATTTCAAAAAAAATATTTGCTATGTCTTAACTTTCAAACTGTATTTTCCCTGTGAGGAGGTGTAAAATCATGTTTTGGTTATTCCTAGATCTTGCTCGGCCAGAAATACTCTTTCTCAGTGGACTGGTGGTCCTTCGGCGTGTTGCTGTACGAAATGCTCGTGGGACAATCGCCGTTCCATGGAGATGATGAGGATGAGTTGTTTGAGTCCATCCGCATGGACACACCTCACTATCCCCGCTGGATCAATAAGGAGGCCAAAGAGCTGCTGGAGCGGGTCTGTACCACCACAACTACGACGACGAGACATTCGAGAGCAGCCTTTCCTCCTTACCGAAGCTTTATTGAAGATCCTGTATTCAGCCTCCATTTTGTTTTTAATCATAGACATGGTCTCATTTTGTTTCCCTCCAGTTATTTGAAAGAGATCCCACACGCAGGCTTACAATTCTGGGTAATATACGTTTGCACTCCTTCTTCAAGTCCATTGACTGGCAGGCCTTGGAGAACAGGGAAGTGGAGCCACCCTTCAAGCCCAAAGTGGTATGGCACGCACACAATTTGAGAAACCCTCCTGACAGCTGCAGATTTAAAAAAAAATAATTTTAGATGTGTTGTATTGTTTGTTCATGCGAGATATTTGATGCTGATTACAGAGAGCACCGAACGACTGCAGCAACTTTGATCGGGAGTTCCTGAGCGAGAAGCCTCGCCTGTCCCACAGTGACAAGAACTTCATAGATTCCATGGACCAGTCGGCATTTGCTGGCTTTTCTTTCATGAACCCCAAGATGGAGCTCCTCTTAGAGAAGTAACTCCTGAATGAACAGTGAGACTGGGTTTACGCACCTCGTGTTTAGGTGCAGTTCACTTATTGTGTCACATGGTTAAACCTGCCAAATAGCTGGTCCACCACCAGAATTTGCGGCACCTAATTTTAAGCACAAATTATTCTCCTTGGGTACAAGTAGATATTTTTTAGAACATTTGGAGGCACTGTGTTTATTAAGCCTGATGTGTTTGTGTGCATGTGTCTAGTTATTGTGTAGCCTGTAAGAAATAATAACGGTGGTAGGTTGAAAATTCTTAACATTCCATTTTGTGTCACTACTGCCATCTTGTGTCAGCAATGCTTGCTTTAATGTACAGTACATAGATCTCAAATCAATCTTGTTGTATTCATCTTGAATTTTAGATTTTAATAATTATTGTTTGAACACAGAATTGCCCCACCAGTCTTCCAGAGCAGGGGTGGGCAGCCTTTGGCTTGTGGATCATAATACAGAGCATTTGATCTGGTATGACATATAGTTTTCTAAAAATAAATAAAACCACCAAGGAGGTGTTATAAAAAAATACTTGAACATTAATGTTATGAATCTAAAATAGTAAACATTTGCTTAATCTTACCTGGTACTTTCAATTCACGTGAGCATAAAATAAATGAATGTAGCTCGACTTCAAGCATCAGTTGTTGGAAGTAGATGAAATTGTGTATATAGATTAGTGTATATTGGTGTAGCATGTATATTGGTACGCTATGTATGTATTTTTTTTACTGTCTCCCATCTTTTACATCTAATTAAAAAACATCAAACCCTCCAAACCACATCTCAGTTTCTGTGTCTTTGTAATTTAGAATAATTTGTTTCTGAAAAGTTACAATCTACATATGTTGCGTTCTCTCTATAAGTAGTTTGATTGATTGATTGATTGATTGATTGATTGATTGATTGATTCATATACTGTACATGCATTTTGATTTTTAGTTTTTATACGTAATGTCTGTGTTACTGCTTCTTTAAACAAAGATGACATTGGCCGGAAGTAAGCTGCATACCCACCAATGGCGTCTCGCGTAATTCACCTAACGTCACTACGTAACTTCTATACCAATGTGTACGGAAGTGGGAAATGGAATCACCACGCTAAATTCGTGTCATGTGTACTCAGAATCCTTCTTTTAACGCGGTGGAGAGAAATGAATTCTGTTTTTAATGTCGAAAATCATAATTAAACATAGAATTTCAAGCGGGGGCAAAACAATTCCAGAATGAGCTCTCAGGACGTACTTAAAAACGCGTCCACTCTCGCGTCGTACAATGTGCTGCTACAGGTGAGTAAACGCTAACTTGCATTAATCGGTGTGTGAAATGCTTCCACCTAATATTAATATTTGATTTCAGGTGATGTTCCGCGTGCTCACCTTCTTATTGAACGCGTTCACCCTGCGTTTTGTATCCAAAGAGCTGATTGGAGTGGTGAATGTAAGGTAAGCCCAGTAAATCACAACTTTTATCGAGCCAGGCATATATTTTGCATCTCCTCTTAATTTAATCAAAAATTTACCAAGGCAGATTGAAATCAGAGCCAGAATAGTCGAACTAAGGGCTGGTGTACTCACAGGAATTGAAGACACCGAGATCTTCAACATCTCTGTGGAACAACATTTAATTGTGCTGCCTGTCACTATACGCCGTCGTCATATATTAACAAGTGTGAATGATTTGTAGTTAAGTTAATTTCCTGTGGTACACCTGATGATGTGAGCTCTCTCAGGTACCGTGGTTGGAAACTACTGATAAATTGTGTTGCCACTGTCGCTCAAAGCGGTTTATTTATAACAGTAATGTGTGTTATTATCTTCCTATTTTTAGGCTTACACTGCTGTACTCGACGTTAGTATTTTTGTCTCGAGAGGCCTTTCGAAGAGCCTGTCTGAGTGGATCTACTGACGGGAAGCGCAACTGGAGGCAGCTCATCAACCTGCTATGGCTGACGTAAACTTCACCAACCACCGTGTTCTTCACCGTGCAATGTTTGCTTGTCTCTTGAAAGCACTCTTGGTCTGTCAGGTTGCCTCTGGGTGTGCTGTGGGGAGCCCTGTTAGCCGCTGTGTGGCTATGGCTCCTGGAGGTGCCAGATCCTCAATCAGTTCCTTTTTACGGCCCCGCCGTGCTGCTGTTCGGACTAGCTGGGGTGCAGGAGCTCCTGGCCGAGCCCCTCTGGGTGCTGGCCCAAGTGCACATGTTTGTGAAACTAAAGGTGGTCGCTGAGAGCTTGGCTATGTTGGCTAAGTGCAGCGTGACGGTGGTGTTGGTGATGTCTGCCCGGGAGTGGGGCCTTTACATCTTCTCTGCTGCTCATGTAAGAATCTGCTCCAAATCTCATATACTGTTTGTTCATTCATGATGAATAACTTTAATTTCTGTCATCTTTTAGCTGGTGTACACAGGAGTCTTGGTGCTGTGCTATGCGGTTTACTTTCTTCATTTCTTGCCGTCCAAAGAGGCAATTGAGAGCAATTTCCCCCTGCGCAATATTAGAGATCTGATGCCTCACAAAGCTCATGGAGAGGTAGTGTGATTGTTTCTTATCCCTTTTTTGTTACAATATAGCCATGAGTGTGGGTTTTTTCCTGGCTCAAATTGAGGCACAAGCAGCCCCCACTGGCTAAGTAACATTAGCATCAACGTTTGTAATGTTATGGCTCAAATTGAGGCACAAGCAGCCCCCACTGGCTCCAACCAACACTATTTGTATCAATCAATTACATGAATTTTGAAAAAGTAACATTAGCATCAACGTTTGTAATGTTCCTGATATTTGCATTTACTTCTGTTTGGAAATTCACAAAATCATCTGGTGGATATCAGGGGATCTGACCGCAGTTGCAGTGACAAAATACGCCCAACTCAACGCAAAGTTAGTCGAGTTCTACCAGTTTTGACGACATCAGGATAACCTCTCAGAGCATCTGTCTTTTTGTAGCCGCTGGTGGACTGGACCGTGGCCCGTCTTACCTGGAGCTTCTTCAAGCAGTCGTTCCTCAAGCAGATCCTGACTGAAGGGGAGCGCTACGTCATGACCTTCCTGAACGTCCTGAGCTTCGGCGACCAGGGCGTTTATGACATCGTCAACAATCTGGGCTCCATGGTGGCGCGCTTCATCTTCCTGCCAATCGAGGAGAGCTTCTACATCTTCTTTGCCAAAGTGCTGGAGCGAGGCCGTGATGTGAAAAGCCAGAAACAGGTGTGCACTGGCATGTTTTATTGTGAATAAATATTGATGAGTTCAAGTTCACAATGTGATTGTTGTCTTCAGGAAGACGTTGGTGTCGCAGCAGATGTGCTACAATGCCTGCTCAAACTGGTGCTGGTGATTGGACTCATTATCGCGGTCTTTGGGTACGCCTACTCAGAACTGGCCCTGGATATTTATGGTGGATCTCTGCTGAGCAGTGGGGCAGGTAATCTAGACAATGTGTGTCTGGTTTTATTGGATTTAACCGCTGCATTTGATACAGTAGATCACAGTATTCAGTTGGCTCGTTTGCAGCACCTGGTGTGCATTAGCGGTAGTGCCCTTCAGTGGTTTGGGTCCTATTCGGCTGGCAAAACTTTTTGTGTTAGCCTTGGTTGGTCTTAGTCATGAACTGTTGTGTGATGTTCCACAGGGTTCAATTCCGGGGCCTCTGCTTTTCTCCATTGTATCTGCTCTCTTTTGGTTTCATCTTAAGGAAACATGGTATTTACTTCCAATGCTTTGCGGATGACTGTCAGATCTATGTACCGCTGAGCAAAAAAGACACTTTCCCATTGATTAACATGGCCCTAGAGGTATTAATTGATTAATATGTTTTAATATTTTAAGACAATTGCGAGACTGTACAAGAATTTTCACTTCACTGCTTCTTCTTTGTATTTTGTTGAAGGTCCATCCCTGCTGCGATATTACAGCTGCTACGTCCTCCTGCTGGCTGTAAATGGAGTGACCGAGTGTTTTGTGTTTGCTGCAATGAGCCAAGAGGAGGTTGACAAGTACGCACCAATAAAGCTTTGCTACATCGCTTTTAACACAGCAAAATATACATACAGTGGTGCCTTGAGATCTGAGGAACCTGAGATAGTGAGCAAGTCCAACACAGCACAGTTATCACTGAATCGAACCAAAAATGTGGCAAAACGGATTCATTCTTCAAGTATGTCATTTAATTATGTAATTGCTGCATGTGTTTATAAAGTAAAAAATGATAAACATACACTTTTTTTTCTTAAAAACACATTCACATTTTTGTTGTTGGGGTTTTTGGCATGCAGAAACAGATTAATGACATTTCCATTCAATTCAATGGGAAAAGATAATTTCAGAAATGAGTGTTAAAGGAATAAAATTGGATGTCAAGACAACACTTCATTATTCATTTTTAGGTACAACTTGGTGATGCTGGCCCTGTCTGCGTCCTTCCTCTTCCTGTCCTACATGCTGACGTGGTGGGCTGGTGGCGTGGGCTTCATTCTGGCCAACTGCTTGAACATGGCCCTCCGCATCACGCACAGCGTCCTGTACATTCGCCGCTACTTCCTGTCCAGTCAGTGGAAACCATTGCGGGGCCTGCTGCCCTCGCTGCCGCTGTGCCTGGTGCTCGGTGTCAGTGCAGCCGTCACGGTTGTCAGTGAGGTAATCTTCAAACACTTCATTACTAATGTTGACTTGAGGGTCTTAATGGAATTTGTATTAAAAGGGGATTTGTTGTCGCAGATTGCTTTTTGCTGCGACGGCGGTTGGCTCCTGAGGTTCGTCCACGTCGGCGTGGGAGCGGCCTGTCTTTTTTTTGTTCTCGGGACGGTTGTGCTCACAGAAACTCAACTCGTTGTGTTTGTGAGGACTCAGCTTTTGCCCCAGTACAGGAAAAAACGCCTATAACGTGAAGGTCAGCGGCAAGTGGATCTTTCTTTTTGTGGATCTTGGACGCAAGTATATACAGTATGTGCCTAATTAATATTGAAGAGAAGTTCAGTTCAGTAGTACAATTTCAAAAAAAATGAAACTCATTTCATAAATGCCGAGGAAATTATTTTTTTAGCTGTAAGAAATTAAAACCAGTCAAGACAATGTCACTACATTTTTTAATCTGTGATGGAAGTAAACTTTTCTAGATTTTTTTTTTTGGGGTGTTTACTGAATCTGCGCTCACTTTATTATTTTTTTCCCTTTGATACATTTGATTTTTGTAATAACATAATATGTAATATAGTAATCTATCTAATAATATTTATGAATTAAGGGTTAGGTTCAGCAATAATAGCGATAAATTTAAAACGCATGGTAGAATCCATCTTGCGCAAGCTTTTATAGGTCAAAGTTAAAAACAAGATATAGCTTAAAAACTGGATACACGAGAAAAAAAGTACTCGTTTTTGTCACTGTCAAAGATAAATTTTGGGACACCAAAATTGGTTTCAAAATTTGCTGTTGACCAGTGTAATCAATATTATCAGAAAGAAGATCATGAAATATTTCACTTTGTGTGAAGTGAATTTAAGACATAAACTTCACTGCTGAAACAAATTGTTTTCGCCAATACTGTACTTTATTAATATGCACGTGTAAGTGAATGTGTATTATAACGTGACTGAATAATTCCTCTGTACATATGAAGAAGTGTACCCTTATTGGATACATCATTAGGTACACCTTCCAGATCTATTTTTAATTGAAAGGCACGCAGATATTACGCTGTGATACCGTGAAGTGTATGTAATCATCTGCGTATGTGCTGTACTCTAAATACGGTGATTTCGATTAACTTTATTTTTTTGCTGATTTTGTAAATATGTACCTAATGAGTAGTGACTATTGAGTGTTTGATAAGTAAACTATTGTGGGCCAAATTTAATGGATTGTGTTAGTCGGATTTTTACTGCTGAAGTCACTTCACGCAAATTCATACAGTGCATCATTCAACATACATTGTTTGTGTGTCGCTATGTGATGTGTCATGGTATGTATCCATTCTGTTTGGCAAAGTTGACCACCGGAAAGTATTTTCAACCCTTATGGATCGATCGTATTAAATGATTTTATTAAATCGTGTTGATTTTAAAATGCCTGACATGACAGCAACTTTGATTCCCATTTCCTTGATGGACTCTGGGCAAAAACAAAGCCTTTAATTGTAATTTAAAAAAAAATTGAAGTGAAAGAGAATCTGCCGCACCCCTATTTTGATGTCACTTTTTTGTTAAGTCATCTCACGTGTTACGGGATGATTTGTCCAGGTTGTAGTTTTACTTGCATAGCTGACGTCATGTTGTTTGTGGAATGACCTTGTTAATCTGTTAAAAATGTTCTTTTGCTCCATAGGTAACCTTCCGTTGCATGAGACGTGCAGTGGATATCAAACATCTACACATCCCTGTTGAAATGTCAGATTTTCACTTTATTTGGTCAAGATTTTTTATTCCCTTTTCACTAAAATTTCCGAGCAACCCTTGGGCTCAAGAGTTTTTGTCGTGTTTTTTTTTAATTTTATAAGATCATGTATTTTCTTCCTTGACTTTTCACCAGGAAAACCAGAAGCGAGTGTTTTTTTTTTTTGGTTTTGCAGAACCACAAACTGCTAAACTACAAGCTGTGCTTCTTCCACACTTACAACTGAAGGAAGCGTCCGTCAGGGTTGGATAATGATGTCATTATGAGGAATGAGCAGTAAAGTACTGCAAGCGATTTGCTTTTTGGTCTTTTTTTTGTCAGTTTGAAACTGGGATTAATTTGCACACACATAAACTGTGGGAGGAGGATAACTAAGTCATTTATGAATTTTTTTGTATTCAACCACTCAAAATGTCACTGGCATCATATAAGCTTGAAAAGGAAAGTCACAACAACTATGAAGAATTTATAACAGATTTTATATAAAGTAATAATCCACCACCAAATACTGAACAAGAATAACCAACACTTTTCAGAACAACAACACTTTTCAGAACAAGAACAACGAACACTTTTCAAAACAAACAAGAACAACGAACACTTTTCAGAACTTTTTTTTTTCAGCAGTTTTTGCAGATGTTCCTCATGTGTTTGCGGCAAACGCCTGAACCACACTTTTCGCATTCATTGGATGCAATGACTTTGACTGTGCAGAGGGCACATTGTTTTCGCTTGACCTTGGGATTTTCTTGCTTTTCTGCAGCCTGCACCTCAACTGGAGCGGTATGTGGCTTTCTCCGATGAACCTCTGGCATGATCAACGCATGGCCGAGCTCCTCGAGGAACAGCCTTCTTTTGTAAAGTTTCTTGGCGTTCCAACCCGGGTTCACATGGGTGTACAGAATAAAGGCATTGAAGGCCGAAACGTCCAGCAGGTGGTAGAAAAGGCACATTGGCCATGTTTGTGAAACTAAAGGTGGTCGCTGAGAGCTTGGCTATGTTGGCTAAGTGCAGCGTGACGGTGGTGTTGGTGATGTCTGCCTGGGAGTGGGGCCTTTACATCTTCTCTGCTGCTCATGTAAGAATCTGCTCCAAATCTCATATACTGTTTGTTCATTCATGATGAATAACTTTAATTTCTGTCATCTTTTAGCTGGTGTACACAGGAGTCTTGGTGCTGTGCTATGCGGTTTACTTTCTTCATTTCTTGCCGTCCAAAGAGGCAATTGAGAGCAATTTCCCCCTGCGCAATATTAGAGATCTGATGCCTCACAAAGCTCATGGAGAGGTAGTGTGATTGTTTCTTATCTCTTTTTTGTTACAATATAGCCATGAGTGGGGGTTTTTTCCTGGCTCAAATTGAGGCACAAGCAGCCCCCACTGGCTCCAACCAACACTATTTGTATCAATCAATTACATGAATTTTGAAAAAGTAACATTAGCATCAACGTTTGTAATGTTCCTGATATTTGCATTTACTTCTGTTTGGAAATTCACAAAATCATCTGGTGGATATCAGGGGATCTGACCGCAGTTGCAGTGACAAAATACGCCCAACTCAACGCAAAGTTAGTCGAGTTCTACCAGTTTTGACGACATCAGGATAACCTCTCAGAGCATCTGTCTTTTTGTAGCCGCTGGTGGACTGGACCGTGGCCCGTCTTACCTGGAGCTTCTTCAAGCAGTCGTTCCTCAAGCAGATCCTGACTGAAGGGGAGCGCTACGTCATGACCTTCCTGAACGTCCTGAGCTTCGGCGACCAGGGCGTTTATGACATCGTCAACAATCTGGGCTCCATGGTGGCGCGCTTCATCTTCCTGCCAATCGAGGAGAGCTTCTACATCTTCTTTGCCAAAGTGCTGGAGCGAGGCCGTGATGTGAAAAGCCAGAAACAGGTGTGCACTGGCATGTTTTATTGTGAATAAATATTGATGAGTTCAAGTTCACAATGTGATTGTTGTCTTCAGGAAGACGTTGGTGTCGCAGCAGATGTGCTACAATGCCTGCTCAAACTGGTGCTGGTGATTGGACTCATTATCGCGGTCTTTGGGTACGCCTACTCAGAACTGGCCCTGGATATTTATGGTGGATCTCTGCTGAGCAGTGGGGCAGGTAATCTAGACAATGTGTGTCTGGTTTTATTGGATTTAACCGCTGCATTTGATACAGTAGATCACAGTATTCAGTTGGCTCGTTTGCAGCACCTGGTGTGCATTAGCGGTAGTGCCCTTCAGTGGTTTGGGTCCTATTCGGCTGGCAAAACTTTTTGTGTTAGCCTTGGTTGGTCTTAGTCATGAACTGTTGTGTGATGTTCCACAGGGTTCAATTCCGGGGCCTCTGCTTTTCTCCATTGTATCTGCTCTCTTTTGGTTTCATCTTAAGGAAACATGGTATTTACTTCCAATGCTTTGCGGATGACTGTCAGATCTATGTACCGCTGAGCAAAAAAGACACTTTCCCATTGATTAACATGGCCCTAGAGGTATTAATTGATTAATATGTTTTAATATTTTAAGACAATTGCGAGACTGTACAAGAATTTTCACTTCACTGCTTCTTCTTTGTATTTTGTTGAAGGTCCATCCCTGCTGCGATATTACAGCTGCTACGTCCTCCTGCTGGCTGTAAATGGAGTGACCGAGTGTTTTGTGTTTGCTGCAATGAGCCAAGAGGAGGTTGACAAGTACGCACCAATAAAGCTTTGCTACATCGCTTTTAACACAGCAAAATATACATACAGTGGTGCCTTGAGATCTGAGGAACCTGAGATAGTGAGCAAGTCCAACACAGCACAGTTATCACTGAATCGAACCAAAAATGTGGCAAAACGGATTCATTCTTCAAGTATGTCATTTAATTATGTAATTGCTGCATGTGTTTATAAAGTAAAAAATGATAAACATACACTTTTTTTTCTTAAAAACACATTCACATTTTTGTTGTTGGGGTTTTTGGCATGCAGAAACAGATTAATGACATTTCCATTCAATTCAATGGGAAAAGATAATTTTAGAAATGAGTGTTAAAGGAATAAAATTGGATGTCAAGACAACACTTCATTATTCATTTTTAGGTACAACTTGGTGATGCTGGCCCTGTCTGCGTCCTTCCTCTTCCTGTCCTACATGCTGACGTGGTGGGCTGGTGGCGTGGGCTTCATTCTGGCCAACTGCTTGAACATGGCCCTCCGCATCACGCACAGCGTCCTGTACATTCGCCGCTACTTCCTGTCCAGTCAGTGGAAAACACTGCGGGGCCTGCTGCCCTCGCTGCCGCTGTGCCTGGTGCTCGGTGTCAGTGCAGCCGTCACGGTTGTCAGTGAGGTAATCTTCAAACACTTCATTACTAATGTTGACTTGAGGGTCTTAATGGAATTTGTATTAAAAGGGGATTTGTTGTCGCAGATTGCTTTTTGCTGCGACGGCGGTTGGCTCCTGAGGTTCGTCCACGTCGGCGTGGGAGCGGCCTGTCTTTTTTTTGTTCTCGGGACGGTTGTGCTCACAGAAACTCAACTCGTTGTGTTTGTGAGGACTCAGCTTTTGCCCCAGTACAGGAAAAAACGCCTATAACGTGAAGGTCAGCGGCAAGTGGATCTTTCTTTTTGTGGATCTTGGACGCAAGTATATACAGTATGTGCCTAATTAATATTGAAGAGAAGTTCAGTTCAGTAGTACAATTTCAAAAAAAATGAAACTCATTTCATAAATGCCGAGGAAATTATTTTTTTAGCTGTAAGAAATTAAAACCAGTCAACACAATGTCACTACATTTTTTAATCTGTGATGCAAGTAAACTTTTCTAGATTTTTTTTTTTTGGGGTGTTTACTGAATCTGCGCTCACTTTATTATTTTTTTCCCTTTGATACATTTGATTTTTGTAATAACATAATATGTAATATAGTAATCTATCTAATAATATTTATGAATTAAGGGTTAGGTTCAGCAATAATAGCGATAAATTTAAAACGCATGGTAGAATCCATCTTGCGCAAGCTTTTATAGGTCAAAGTTAAAAACAAGATATAGCTTAAAAACTGGATACACGAGAAAAAAAAGTACTCGTTTTTGTCACTGTCAAAGATAAATTTTGGGACACCAAAATTGGTTTCAAAATTTGCTGTTGACCAGTGTAATCAATATTATAAGAAAGAAGATCATGAAATATTTCACTTTGTGTGGAGTGAATTTAAGATATAAACTTCACTGCTGAAACAAATTGTTTTCGCCAATACTGTACTTTATTAATATGCACGTGTAAGTGAATGTGTATTATAACGTGACTGAATAATTCCTCTGTACATATGAAGAAGTGTACCCTTATTGGATACATCATTAGGTACACCTTCCAGATCTATTTTTAATTGAAAGGCACGCAGATATTACGCTGTGATACCGTGAAGTGTATGTAATCATCTGCGTATGTGCTGTACTCTAAATACGGTGATTTCGATTAACTTTATTTTTTTGCTGATTTTGTAAATATGTACCTAATGAGTAGTGACTATTGAGTGTTTGATAAGTAAACTATTGTGGGCCAAATTTAATGGATTGTGTTAGTCGGATTTTTACTGCTGAAGTCACTTCACGCAAATTCATACAGTGCATCATTCAACATACATTGTTTGTGTGTCGCTATGTGATGTGTCATGGTATGTATCCATTCTGTTTGGCAAAGTTGACCACCGGAAAGTATTTTCAACCCTTATGGATCGATCGTATTAAATGATTTTATTAAATCGTGTTGATTTTAAAATGCCTGACATGACAGCAACTTTGATTCCCATTTCCTTGATGGACTCTGGGCAAAAACAAAGCCTTTAATTGTAATTTAAAAAAAAATTGAAGTGAAAGAGAATCTGCCGCACCCCTATTTTGATGTCACTTTTTTGTTAAGTCATCTCACGTGTTACGGGATGATTTGTCCAGGTTGTAGTTTTACTTGCATAGCTGACGTCATGTTGTTTGTGGAATGACCTTGTTAATCTGTTAAAAATGTTCTTTTGCTCCATAGGTAACCTTCCGTTGCATGAGACGTGCAGTGGATATCAAACATCTACACATTCCTGTTGAAATGTCAGATTTTCACTTTATTTGGTCAAGATTTTTTATTCCCTTTTCACTAAAATTTCCGAGCAACCCTTGGGCTCAAGAGTTTTTGTAGTGTTATTTGTTTAATTTTTAAGATCATGTATTTTCTTCCTTGACTTTTCACCAGGAAAACCAGAAGCGAGTGTTTTTTTTTTTTTGGTTTTGCAGAACCACAAACTGCTAAACTACAAGCTGTGCTTCTTCCACACTTACAACTGAAGGAAGCGTCCGTCAGGGTTGGATAATGATGTCATTATGAGGAATGAGCAGTAAAGTACTGCAAGCGATTTGCTTTTTGGTCTTTTTTTTTGTCAGATTGAAACTGGGATTAATTTGCACACACATAAACTGTGGGAGGAGGATAACTAAGTCATTTATGAATTTTTTTGTATTCACCCACTCAAAATGTCACTGGCATCATATAAGCTTGAAAAGGAAAGTCACAACAACTATGAAGAATTTATAACAGATTTTATATAAAGTAATAATCCACCACCAAATACTGAACAAGAATAACCAACACTTTTCAGAACAACAACACTTTTCAGAACAAGAACAACGAACACTTTTCAAAACAAACAAGAACAACGAACACTTTTCAGAACTTTTTTTTTTCAGCAGTTTTTGCAGATGTTCCTCATGTGTTTGCGGCAAACGCCTGAACCACACTTTTCGCATTCATTGGATGCAATGACTTTGACTGTGCAGAGGGCACATTGTTTTCGCTTGACCTTGGGATTTTCTTGCTTTTCTGCAGCCTGCACCTCAACTGGAGCGGTATGTGGCTTTCTCCGATGAACCTCTGGCATGATCAACGCATGGCCGAGCTCCTCGAGGAACAGCCTTCTTTTGTAAAGTTTCTTGGCGTTCCAACCCGGGTTCACATGGGTGTACAGAATAAAGGCATTGAAGGCCGAAACGTCCAGCAGGTGGTAGAAAAGGCACATTGGCCACCGTTGTGCTCGCCGGCGAGTTGAGTATGTGCCACATGCCTGCAACACACACAAAAACATCAGATGACATCGATTACAAGACAGCTTTGATAAACACTTTGTGACAGAGACAAAACTTGTGCTTGCCTGGTCCAGGTGGTCCACCGCTCCCTTACATTTATTGTAATCCAATACAATTTCGGGTTTTCTTTTGCCCCCGGCCTCCACTTTAGGCTTCTTGTGTACTGTGCTGAGCAACAGCACATTTTTCCCTTTTTTGGGGACGTATGAAACCAAAGCCATGTCTCTGGTGAAGCAGAAAATGCTCGAGAGGGGCTGCCTTTCAGTTATTTGTGTCATTTGCGCAGGGAGCTCGCTCTTGTTCCTTCTTATAGTACCCACAAGTGAGTTTCTTTTTTTTTTCAGTTCTGCTGCAAGGGGTACTGATGTGAAAAAGTTGTCCATCGTTATTATGTGTCCTTCCAGACTGTCAGTGAGTCCGAGCATCACACGCATTCCTACATTGTGCTCACGCGTGCCCCCTGGAGGCTTGCCGGTGTAGATCTCCAGCTTCCACGCGTAGGAGGTTCGAGCGTCACAGACGGCCCAAATTTTTATGCCATACTTTGCGGGCTTTGACGGGCATATACTGTTTGAAGCTGCAGCGTCCTCTAAAGGAAATTAGCTGCTCGTCAACGCACACGTCACGCCCCACGTTAAACATTTTCTCCAGCCGGAAATTCCAGCTGCTCCACAAATCTGATATCGGCGACAGTTTGTTCGCATGGTTCGGCTGCGGGCTCTGCTTCGAAGCAGTATCGAAACGTAGCATTCGGTTGATTTCCATAAATCTCCGATGAGACATTGCTAAGGGGAACATCGGACGCCCGGTCTTGACGCTCCACAAGCTGCTCGTCGCTTCGTGCCTGGACCGGTACGTTCCAGACAGGATCAGCAGCCCGATAAACGCCCGCAGCTCTTGGGGCGTGAGGCGATACCAGTTCTTGGTCTTTCGGTGCGCTTGGTGGTTGGTCATTTTGACTATTTTCTCGATGAATTCCTGATCCACAAATAACGCAAACGCCGTCTCGGGGCTGCTGATCCTGGATACTGCATACAACGTGGGGCCAGGCGTGGGAATTCGTGGATGGACGTAACGTACAGCCACTTCGTTGCTTGGATGCCACATCACTTTTTTATTTTTCGACCACCAGACCGTATCAACGGCCCATCCCGGTGGATCCTGGTCCTGCCCGACCACTTTCGGAGCATCATCCGAGGCTCCCTCTTCTTCTTCCCTATCGGAGCTGTCCTCGGCGTTGTCGTCAGCATCAGGCTGATAATCGGAAAACTCCACCGACGACTCATGTTCTGACCTTTCAGAGCCGGAATAGTCTTCGGTGTCATTCGACGAAATTGCTCGAAAGGTTTCGTCTTTGTTAAAAAACGTCGCCATTTCTGCACTCTCCAACATCCAACTCACTCTGGCGGTTGATTGGCTGCTGGCCTGACCATTCGCGGGCTAATAAATTTAAATTCAAACCTGAGGCGGACCAATCATAGTTGAGATTCAAAAACATAACTCGAAATCTGAGCCAATCTCTATGCAGAACATCCGTTTGAAATAAAGACGCTGACACGCATGCTTATTGCGTAGACCAGGTGTGGGCAATTATTTTCCCGGTGGGGGGCCAAATGAAAAGCAGAAAATATTGTAGAGGGCCGGGCCAAAAGTTAGAAATCTGCTCCCTTTTTAAATTTTATTTCTACGTTGAAGTAAGTTAATGACATTGCTTACAGAAGCTGATAAGAGTATGTATTATTGCTAGAAAGTCCAGTTATTTTACAGAAAAACGATTTCTTCAGTGAAATGATGCAAAACAATTCTAATTGTGCAACATTTGTAACTCTTTTTCAGTAAGATGAACACTACAACGCTTTCTGATTTTAACTTTCCCATGAAGATAGCACAATGTCTTTGTATTCCAGTAATAATGTAACATAACTCACATTTTTTTGTCCCAACTGCCAAACAATGTAGAAAAAATACAAGCGAGCATGTTTCGGTGTATTTTTTTTTTCTTGTTCAGTAGAGATCAATCTAGCTCGGGGGCCACATTGATTTCTAAATTTGACAGGTGGACCGGGTCAGCACAAGATACGGTACATATAAAAAACTGTATATGTTGACAGTCCATACCAAGCATCAACAGAACAAAAGCATTAAATTATTACAGGATGATTGGTCGTAGAAAGGGTTCTGTCAGGGCACTGTCAGGGTGTAGCTACCCTAAATGGGCCTTTGGCAAAGTTAG